CTCCTTTTCCTCCTTTTCCTCCTTTTCCTCCACCTGCAGTAAGCTGAGGTTGCTCATAGGTTCTGGAAAGCTCTTTCCTTTGCCTGGGGGAGGGTTGTTGTGTGTCGTTGGAGGGATGTCGGCTTAAAATGTTTTTACACGATTCTTCTCTTCCCCGATCTTTCCTGGTGCTAGTGCAAGTTATATCTGTGCTGGCGTGGTTACATTATGTGGAAAAGATATGTTGTTAATATTAGAAACGTGTCTGTAGTGAAGAGCTGTTGCTCTTAAGTATTTTGTTCCTTTAAAGTAGATGTCTTGACATTTTAAAGTTCATATGGAAACATTCAGTCCTGTAGTCAAAGGTAGCTGAGGGGTGAAAAATGTAATGGGCTCTGAGAGTATCTCAAATGTGTGAGGGCCTTTAAATGATTGCCTCTGAAAACGATACCAGAGGAAAGAAGCTGTGTGATTGCCTTATGTTTTTATATGTATTTTTTACTTGACTTGTTCACTGGTTATTACTTGAGTCCTGAATACGCATTCTTTGGTTGCAAAAGCTTCCTTAATTGTTCAACAACCCAACTGGTATTTTAATGCTCTTACTGTAAAGCATAAGCCTGAAAAATCAAGTAACTGGATCTGTCTGTAGTTTTTCTGACTGCATGTGTGGTGGAAGGATTGAGTAGTAGTCAAAGACTCTTGGTACAACTGCAAAATTAATATTCTTTCAAATTACACCTTATCTTAATTCTGAACTCTGTGGTCAGATACTTAAAAAAAAGAGTATTGCATTTTAATCAGTTTCTCTTCTATCATTTGGTGTCATAAATGACTGAATGGACTTTAGTCTGTTGTACTAAGTTCTGATTCATTCACTTGGTTTCTGACTTAGGGGTTCAGTTTCCTTTCCCACAGTTTAACGTCTGCTAATGTTACTAGCAAAGACATAGTTAAAGCTAGAGGGGTGTTGTATTGTCCCCCCCCGATACTGGTGAACTACTAACTTCTGTCAAAACATCTGGCAAAAGAAAAGGAATTATGAACAAGCATTTCAGTAAGTCTGGCTGCTGCTATCTGCTCAGAGAGAAACTGGATGCTGCTGGCTTCATGATCTTTGATGTCAGAGTCCTGAATGTGAAAACAAGTTGAAAGGTAGCTAGAGATTTCTGCCAGGATTAGAATGAGCAATGCTGTATCTTGCTAATACAGGCAGAATTTGATTAATTGGAGCTAAATGTGTCTTGATTTGTCCACGTGTGTGTTAAATACACTTCTGTAAAAACTGGAAACAAACCACCCCAAAGAGTGAAAAGAGAACATACACTTTTTTATGTTACTGCCTTTAATGTGAATGCTTCTGAATCTGATACATTGCATTAAAGATTGTTTTGAGGGGCTATAAAAAACCCAACAGCTATTCTTATAGAGGCTGCTTTTTGAAGGAGTTGTTTAGTGTGACACTTCTGTTTCCTCTTCTAGGTTCCTGTTCTTCAAACAAACAATGGTCCCGGTCTGACAGGACTGATGACCATAGCTGCCCACCTAGTGAAACAGGCTAAGAAAGACCAGCTGCTTGGAAGTTCTGCAGAAGAGAAAGCTGTTGTTCAGCAGTGGTTGGAATATAGAGTGACTCGAGTAGATGGAGGTGCTAATAAAGATGATACTAGAATAATTCTGAAGGTAAGGAGGACTTAATTACCTTGCCACTGAATTCTGGAGTGACTAGACCTTGAAGAAGGTTACAGTGCTGAGAGGTATATGAACAAGTTAATAAACCTGAGCAAACTTTGAAGACTTGACAGTATCTTTAAGCACTGGCTTTTATTCTGCTTGCTGCTTTTCACTTTTATGGGCAAAAATACCCCAGCAACCTGAAACAGGAGGCAAAACATATGAAGCAGAGCTCTTAACGACTGTAATGCTGTAAACTACCCAGGGTGTTCTTGATAGTTTAGGGATTGTTCAGCTGCCTGGTTTCTTATTAGCCAGTTTCTTACTATCTTCATAAAACCTTGGTTATGAACAAGTTGGCATTGTATTTCAAGATAACACTGCTCTGATTGTTTCAGGAGCTATTCTGATTGATTTGGTAGTCGTGAAATACAGGCCATGATGTTGTGATAGTTGGTATTGATAGCAAAAGGAGTTACTGGACAGAGTTGTGTGTGAAAAGTGAAATAATAAAGGAACTTATGCAAAACTGCCCTTCACATCAAGCTACTTCGTATGGAGGCTTTAGTCTACTGTATTAAACTTGTCTGTAGTTTGAAGCTTACTTCCTCTTAAACAGGTGGAAGCAGAAAAGAGAATCTCAAGGGTCACCCTGTTACTTGAGCAGTCAGATGGCAGGGAGTAGGTAGCAAAACTTACTCTATTTTCCTTCTTACTCCTTGTAACTGCTAATTAGTATTTTTGCAGTCTTCTGGGAACAGAGCTTGACAAGAAAGTTTGCTTTATGCTGTTCGTAGAACCATAGAATGGTTTGGGTTGGAAGGGACCTTAAAGACCATCTAGTTCCACCTCCCTGCCATAGGCAGGGACACCTCCCACTAGACCAGGTTACTCAAAGCCCGATCCAACCTGGCCTTGGACACTGCCGGGGGGGTGGGGGGATGTCCATACTGTTAAGTGTTAAGGGCTCTGTTTACTAAGTAATATGAAATAACACAGACATTCAATCCATTTTTAAAGTGTTTATTTTTCTAATTTTGAAAGTATGTTTTAGATGGAAAGTACACAATGCTCGGTGCTACTGGTCAGACTGGGTTTAGAAATAGCTTTGTGAGCTGCAAGGTATTGAGAAAGTTGATCTTACTTCAGGCTAGCAGAGCCTTACTTAATACTTCAGACTTTCGTTAGCTGTGAAGAATCTGAGTCAACTAGAACTATTACAGAAACCAAAGATAAACTGAAGCAACATTCAAGAGTTAACACTGTGTTACTTAAAATCAAGCGAAACCTTGTTAGTAAGCATGAGTTTGTTTACGTTACTTCTCTTTTTGTAACATCTCTGATCTTATTTTCTATGTGCAAATGCTATCAAAACCTTTACAGTCATGGCTACTCTACAGATACTGCATGAAAACTTTCTGCCCTCTGTGATTTTTCAGAACTTGGTTGGAGGCATTAAATAATCAGGGTTTAACTTCAGATTTAGATGTACTTTTGAACAGGTGGTATGACTAGATGGCCCTCAGAGGTCCCTGGTGTCTAATTTTTTTAAAAACATTTATGACAGTATATAATTTCAGTTGTTTTTCAAACAAACTTCTGATGCCTTTTGTTCTCTCACATACTGTGAGAAGACTGTATGAGAATAACTAACTCTTACTTAGCTTTCTTGTCCTTCTATCGTAAAAACCAGAAGCAAGTTTTCTGTTGTTATAATAAAATCCATCTGCTCTAGATGGCTTAGGTGATGATACTTGCTTTCTCAGCACATGCACGTGAGTATCTGCAGAACTGCGTTTGAGTATTAAAACCAGATACAGAGATATGATTGTTTTGTCCTGAAGCTGGTATGTCTCTTCATTTTCAGCCTTAGCAACACTCCCTGTGTACAAAAGAATATACTGAAACACAAATATGTAGATAAAACAAATGTTTCCATACAAAGGAAAACTTCCTTTCTGAGAAAATCAGTCACTTGAGAGAGAATCTCTGCCTTTAAGCATGCTCTAATAGATATTAACACTTCAGTATTATCCTATGGATTTTTTCTTAACAGATGTTGAATAGCCAGAATTTATTTTGACACAGGGCTGCTGTGGAATTGTTGCAGCACTAATAACTTCATAGTACTGCAGTTAAGATTTTTTTTTTTATTTCTTCTCTTGCCACCATGATTAATCAGAAAAGAGGCAGCCTACCATTGAAGTATACTATGCCAAAAGGGAGTACGGCTGGGAGGAAAAAAAAAAAAAAAAACACACCTAAAACGGGGAGGCAAGTCTGAGGTTGTAGTTTTACGATGTGTCTGGAATACACAATGGCAGTCTTGGGACAGTTGCAGCCTAGAGCCACAATTTATAATAAGCTGCTCCAAAAACAGTTCAGTCACGTCTGCTATAAACTTTAGGCTGCCTGTTTAACCCTTAACTGAGGTGATGTGGTTCTGAAAAATGTCAGTAAATAACTGGTTTAATGTTTGTTAATTTGAACAGGAAGGGTTTTCTGTTGGGCTTGGGAAAATAGGCTTTTAAATTGTTCTTACTGATGTGTTGACTGAAGCTGTTACTTGGCATGAAAACAATCATGACGTAGTCAGACCATCTCAACAAGGTGTTTTATATTCATTCAGAGCCAATGCTGTACTGTTCAGAACTCGCAGTGGAAGTGCTTTGTGAGTTGAATCTGACTTTGATATGTGCTGCTGTACTGGAGAAAATAAATAGGAGCAATACCTCTGGGCTGTTCTTCAGCAGAATGTAGGAATGGTAATTGTCAATAGCAGTGATAACGTAATATCCAGTGGATTATTTGAACTTTTTTTTCCACAGGATGAGAGAGTATTTTCCTTTGCTGCTTTGGTGTTTAGTTAATGGTAAATTAAGCTGCATAGGAAAAAAAAAAAAATTTGAAAGTTACTGAGTAGTTGTGCTTGGTAACTAGTAGTTTTTTCTGCTCTTCTAGGAAGGAATTGAGAGCCTTTGTGAAACAGTTGTGCCATCAAATGTCTACTTAGATGTTAATGAATTCCATTCAGGAGATCTGAATGTGTCTGCTTTGTCAATTTTAGGTATTCAGAACTTAAGTGTTCTTCCCACCCCCACC